ACCGCCCTCTTGGTGCTGGGCACCTGGCGCGGTAGCGTACGATGTCGCGGAGTCCAGGCAAGAAGTCGCATTTCGAGTCATGGCCGGGTCGGAAGCACCTAGCGAGCTTGACCAAAGCCTCCCGCGTGGCGGACCTGAAGTAGGGCCTGGGCGGGGTGGCTTGCGAGGCCGCACTGGGCGCACAGTTCACAGTTGGGCACGCAACTGCGCAGGCCCCCCCCCCCGAGCGAGGCGACGCCTCGCAGCGCGCATTGCATGCCAACGAGCATGCGGAGCAACCGTTCCAGAGTACTCAAGAAGTCGCGACCTAGCCCCACCCCATCGCGCTCGCTCGATTGCCTCACGAGTGCGCTGAGATAACCTCCCGTCGCACACCGCGGGTCCCGATACGCGAACATAGACGACCTCGACAATGATGGAGGAGGACGCTGACGGCAGCAATATCGGGGATCCGGGGATGCAGAAGAGAAGCATGTCGTCTTGGGAAGGTATGGAGGCCTATCGTCGGACGGGGCTGTGACGAGGATAAATCCGTTCCATGTCTTTCTGGAGCGCTTCCAGAGAGTTCAGGAGCGCTGTGAGAAGGCCGCGGCGCCCGAGACTTCCTCCAGAGCCGCCGGATCTCAGAGGTTCTCGATTTATCCTCGCCCGATGTTATCCTCGCCTTGGCCTCACCTCACATCGGGGAAGCCCTCGAGATGTGCACGGCCTTCCCGTTAGGACCGAGGCAAGACGGTGGTGCGGTGCGAAACGTTCCACAAACGCCACCGTCGGGGTGCGAGGCTGGCTCTTAGTGGCCCCGGCAAGGGCAGGGCCGCTTTTTTACCGTTTCCGAAAAAGTGTCTCTTGAACATGGAAGCGGAAAAAGATGGCGACCGGAAGCGGCACAAAAACGGTTCCAGGAGTGGAGCCCGAGCTGGAACTGGTGAAAAAACGGCGACGGAACCAGTGAGAAAACGGCGTCGGAACCGGCAACAAAAACGGCAAAACGGAGCCGGTAACGTAACGGCCCTGTCGCTTCCAGGGCCCACGAAGGTTAAGTCGAGATTGTCCCTCTACAGGAGGAACATCAAAAAATTGTCCCACGAATCGTTTTTTGTTTGTTATGTCTGTTTTTTGTTAAAACAAACTAGTTTTGAATATTTGTTGATGTTTTGTTATTCTTCTTCCAAAAAGGGCCTGTATGGGGGATAAGGCGACGCGACGATCGGGACAACATCGGATCGGGATAACTCGAAATCTCTGAGAATCAGCGGGTTTGGAGGATGTATTGGGCGCCGCGGCCGCTCCAGAGCGTTCCGGAAAGCTTTGAGAGCGCTCCGGAACGCTCTGGAGCGATTTATCCCGATCCTAGCCCTGTTTTACTTACTCACGAGTTTGAACACACATCCCTATCCCCGTGCTTGGCATCGCCTCACCTCGATGCCGATCAAAAAGGATTCCCTCGGCCTCTGCAAGCACGTCCCGATCCTAGCCCTGTTTTATTGCAGGGGGACGGCCCGACGTGACAGCGAGGGCCGGCTCCCCCGTGGCTCCTGCGCGCTCGGAGCTGTGGCTGCGCGGTCCGCCCCAGCAGGGCGGGGGCTGGCCTCGCGGTGGTCGGCGCTCCCGCAGAGCCTCTGCAGGAGCGCCGAGGCTCCCGACCTCTGGAGGTCGGGAGCCTCGAGACGGGGGTCAGTGCAAACGGGGGTCAGCCAGAGCGCCAGATCTTGCAGGATCCTGCGAAGATCCCCTTTGGCTGACCCGGGTTAGGGAGCCGCTCGTGGCCGCGAGGCGGCCGCGCATATTGGCTGACCCGGGTTTGCGAAGACTTGCGTTGCAGTTTTTTTTCTGCATTGCAGTTTTTTGGTTTCCTGCTGACCCGGGTCTGGATTGACCCTGGTCAGATGATCCCCGAAGAGGACAGGAGGCTCTCCGTCTCTCTCCCCCGCTCTCATGGTGCTCGAGCTTGCGCTAGCCTTGGTCACCAGAAAGACTCTCGAGCACCAAGGAAGTACCGATCTTCTCGAGGGTTTTTGTGTGTTGGGCCCTGGGAGACACTCGTCCGGCATGGTTTCGACACTTTTTCGACACTTGTTCAACACTCTTCTGGGTGCTCAAAATTATTTCTGGAATGTGGCCCTTAAGTGCGATGGGAGCAATATAACACCACTCTCTCTGTCTTTCTGTCTCTCTCTCTCTCTCTCTTTCCCTCTCTCTCTCTCTCTCTCCCTCCCTCTCTCCCTCTCCCTCTGCATGTCATGTTGTACTCCTGTTTTTGTTTTGCTTTTTTGTTATCTCTCTCTCTCTCTCGCTATCTTCTTTTTGATTTTGTTTGTTTTGTTTTTCTCTCTCTCTCTCTCTCCCTGTCTCTGTCTCTGTCTCTCTCTCTCTCTCTCTCTGTCGATCACTCTCTGTCTCCCCACTGTGCAAGCACGTCCCCTCCCTACCCGGTCTCTCCCCTGCCCTGGCCCCCCCCTCCAGGGGGGCGCCCGCCCGCCGACCAGCCACACCCCTCCGCACACGCCGCTGAATGTCGACACGTGCATTGCACTCGGCTTCCCCTCCCCCGGGCCTCTCGGCTCGCTCTCGCCTGCGGCTCCCGTGCCCTCGCGCTCCGCCTCGACGAGGGCCGCGGCCATTCTCCCCCGGGCGAGCCTGGAGTCTCGCTCGCGCGGTGCCTCCCGCCGCCGCTTCCCGACCGAGTCCGAGGCTGCCTGTCACTGTCAGCGTCACGCGGCGTGGCTGGACGCGCTCGTGGCACGGCGGGGAAGCTTCCACCACCCTTGGCCTCCTCTCGGCACCCGCGGACCTTTCCTGGCCCCGCCTCGGGAGGCAGCAGCCTGCTCCGTCTCGGGAGCCTGGAGACGGGGACCGGTGCAAACGGGGGTCAGCCAGAGCGCCCGATCTGGCAGGATCCTCCAGGGCCAGGGCCGCACTGGCCCGGGCTTGGGCGCCGGATCCTGCAGGACCTCGCAGGATCCTTCGCATGGACCCGGGCTCGGGTGCGGGCTCCTGCAGGATCTGGCAGGGCCTGGCTCACCCGGGTCTGGGTTGACCCGGGTCAGCAGATCCCCGACCGCCGTCTCTGCGGTCTCGGCGTGGGGCCTTGGCGCCTGGGCCAGGCCGCGCGGCGCCTGCCGGGCCCCCGGGTGCACGCTCCCTGCGCAGCGCGCGCGCGCCGCTGCCCCGTCGGCAGGCCGCCCTGGCCCGGCCGTGGCCTCCGGCACGCCGTCCGGTGCACGGGCTCTGGCCCCTCCCCGAGGCTCCTGGCATCGCTCGGACGTGTGCGTTTTTTCCTCGGCGAGGACCATCGAGGAGCATCCTTGATCATTTGGCGAAAAACC